AAAAAAAAACACATTTTAATATACACTAAATATTTGTCTTTCTAATTCCATCTTTCCTGTGCTAACATCTGATGGTTTGGTGGTCACTCACTGGGGATCCGGATCTGATAGTGGTTGAGGACCGTCAGAACCTCCACGGCGTGAGTCTTACTGTCGAACTCCAGCAGGCCAGAGATGGTCTTTGAGCTGGCTGCGGATCCAGACACACACACGTCACGTCAGATCAACCACATCACAGACATTTCTACATTTCAGCAGAACTCAGACTCACGTTTGGCGTCAAACACTTTGTATTTGCTGAATCCTGGGACGCTGTGTTCTGTGCATAACTGCAAAACAGCAGACGAATGTGAGTGCGACAGAATCCAGCAGAGGACACTCATCACCTGCTTATTTACCCTCTACACACAGTTCTGAATGCTAAAGCCTAACCCTGACCCTGACAGACAACTCCGCACTCTAACAGTGGAAAAAAGCTTTATTTACTTTATTTTTATACCATTTTTTTTTTCAAAAGAGGACGTCCTTAAACTGAGGTTTTGTCAGATTTAACTGACTTCTGGGGACAAATTTGTTTGCAAATTTGTAGTGACCTGAACCATTCGGATAATGAGATTCAATAATATTAAATATTAATAGTTATTGTAGAAACTCGTCAAATTAAAAAAAAGTCAAATTTTATAATCAAAAATACTGACAAAAGTGAAGACAGCAGCAATTACTGAAGCTAACGACACACAGACGGGGATATTATATAGTTCACTAAAACTAAAACCATAAAACATTTTCATTACTTGAAATAAATAAAGTGAAATAAAATAAGATAAATATGTAAACAATTGTTTCAGCTAGTTCCCAAGGTAACATTTCTTATTTTTATTTAGTTTAACTTGATGTACTAAAATAACTAAAACTATAAAAAATTAATAAAAACTATTTAAGTATTTATATGAACTATTCGTAACTACTGTATAATAATAAATAAATATGCATAAATCAGATGCATGTGTAGGGCGGCTGGATGATGTTCTTGGACGCCTGGCCGGCGCTGGTGAAGCGGTTGTTACGCGTCATAGCGAAGTCCTTATAGCTGCTGGAGCCGTCCTCCAGCTCAAACACCTGACTGGGGATCACAGCGTGCTGCTTCGACACGCTACACACACACACACGACAGACAGAGAACATGTTACTGTCAGAAACACTGACTACAGCTGATCGCCTCATGCTGTTTGAGCTCCAGTGTGTGTGTGTGTGTGAGTGAGTGAGTGAGTGAGTGAGTGCCCGTGAGTGTGTGTGAGAGTGTGTGTGTGTGTGTGTGAGTGTGAGAGTGTGTGT